AAGCAACTTGCTCAACTAAAAATGTAAAAATGACTCATATCAAGTATTGCAACCTATCAACTAAAAATGGCGTAACAACTTTCACAATTCCTGCATCTAGAATTAAAAAGAAAGGATGAAAACTCCAATAAAACATCATCAAAACAAAAAAATAGAAGCACAAAAACAGCAAATATTCAATACATAAAACTACAGAATTTGAAAAACAGCAGAAAACAAAAAACTGCAGCAGATGAAAAACAGAAAAATAGAAAAGAAAAAACAGAAAACAGCAGAAAACGAAAATAGCAAACACAATTTTGCATGCAACTCCCCCCACACTTAAAAGTGACATTGTCCTCAATGCAACCAAACAACAAAGACAATTTCAAAGAATACAGAATGGGGAAAGAACTCCCTCATGGTTCAAGAGTTGGTGCTTCCAAGGACATGCTTTCTACAATTTCCTCTTCCAACTTTGGACTTTGATGAAATTCCTTGAGTTGATGTCCATTGACCTTGAAAATGCTACTGGTGACTTCATTCTTAATTTCAACTGCACCATGGGAAAACATATTAGTAACAATAAAAGGACCATCCCATCTAGATCTAAGTTTACCGGCTATAAGTTTTAGGCAGGAATTGAACAAAAGTACTTGTTGGCCCACTTTGAACTCCTTTCTCAAAATATGTCTATCATGAAAGCATTTAACTTTTTCCTTGTATATTTTTGAGTTCTCATAGGCTTCCAAACGAAGCTCCTCAAGTTGTTGTAATTGAAGTTTCCTTTCCATACCCGTTTGTTCAAACTCTAAGTTACAATGTCTCACCGCCCAATATGCTCTATGCTCAATCTCAACAAGCAGATGACATGCTTCACCAAACATAATCCTGTAAGGAGACATCCCAATCGGTGTCCAGTAAGCTGTCCTATGGGCCCAAAGAGCATCCTCCAAAAATTTGCTCCAATCTTTTCTATTAGGGTGTACTATCTTCTGCAAAATCTGCTTGATTTCCCTATTAAAAACTTCGGCTTGCCCATTAGTTTGGGGATGATAAGCTGTAGACACTCGATGCACAACCCCATACTTATGAAGCAAAACCTGCATGCTTCTATTACAAAAATGGCTTCCCCTATCACTGATAATGGCTTTAGGCACACCAAACCTGCAAAAAATGTTAGACCTAACAAAATCCACAACAACTTTAGAATCATTAGTTTTGGTGGCCTTAGCCTCCACCCATTTGGAAACATAATCAACAGCTAGTAAAATAAACATGTAACCAAAAGATGCAGAAAATAGACCCATAAAATCAATACCCCAAACATCAAAAACCTCACAGAAAATAATCGGTTGTTGGGGCATCTCATGTCTCTATGTAATGGCCATCCCTGCTCTCTCACATTGCTCACAGGTGCTGGAGATTTGATTTGTATCTCTGAAAATAGTAGGCCAGTAAAACCCACTCTCCAACGCCTTTCTAGCTGTCCTATATGATCCATAATGTCCTCCAACAGGTGAACTATGACAAAATTGAAGCACAGAATGGCTCTCCTGATCTAGAATGAACCTTCAAATCACCTGGTCGCTACAAAATCTCCACAAATAAGGGTCATCCCAAACGTAATATTTAGCCTCACTTTTCAGTTTGGCTATCTATGCTTTAGATGCATCTGTAGGAAAGACACCTGCAACCAGGTAATTCATAATATCAGCAAACCAAGGAGTAATATCATGTAACTGCATCAATTGCTCCTCAGGAAAATCATCTTTAATCAGAAAGGGATCAACATTTCCCCCTTCAATCCTACTCAAGTGGTCTGCTACCAAATTCTCTGCGCCACTCCTATCTCTGATCTCAATATCAAACTCCTGAAGGAGAAGCATCCATCTGATCAATCTGGATTTAGCATCGGGCTTCTTCAACAGGAATTTCAAAGCTGCATGGTCAGAATATACAATAATCCTAGAGCCTAGCAAATATGAACGAAATTTATCTAAAGCAAATACAATAGCTAAAAGCTCTTTTTCCGTAGTGGTGTAATTAACTTGAGCTACATCCAATGTGCGAGAAGCATAAGCTATTACATGAGAAAGCTTCCCAACCCGTTGATATAGCTTTATCGAACACTTATCAAATGCACAAGGTTTTCGCAATTATTTGTAGAATAATGTCAACCAAGGTTGAATTCTTGAGGACACGTTTGTATCTAATTCTTCATTACCGAATTGTTAAAATGAAACAAAAGATTGGGGGATTTTGAAAGTTTAAGAATAATCTTATCAAACGCATAAAATTCTAGAATAAAAGAGAAATCAAATGAGAATTAATTGATCCACAAGTCATAGGTTCATGCAAACAACATCCTTCATTGTTTCCCTAGTTTGAACATCTAATCCATTAACTAATTCAATCGAATTTGCTAACAAACTAGATTACGAATTTGACTAATAGATCTATCAATCTAATTCAATTTCATGAATCAAACTACAATCGCAATTCAATTCAATTCCTATCCCCAAACATTATCAATATCTTGAAAAACGAAAGAGAAGAGGAGAAAAGAGAATTCAAACTTGGAGCCACTCTAAATCTTCCTTGCAATTCCCTATTCCTTGTGTATCAATCTAAGAATCCTAACCTTCCATTGAATCCAATGCTCAGCCAAGTCAAGAAGAGAGAAGAAGAAAGAAGAAAACGAAAAGTCACACCAAGAGAAGAGAGAGAATTCGAGAGAGAATTTTAGGAGCTAAAACCGAATTTAAAAAAATGTGTAAACAAAAACAAAAACAAAACGTTTGCAAAGTGGAGCCTCTAACATATTAATAGGCACCACTTATGATCAGATCCAACACTAAAAGGAAGGGCCCACAAGTGTGATTAAACAGCCCAAATTACAAGCTAATGAAATGTTAATACAAATGAAATGAAATTACAAGAACAAAATTCGAATACAAAAATTCCTGCACAATTTTCCTAACTTAAAAAATTCATAGAAAATAGAAAAAAGCTCCAATTTGGACGATCTGCATATGAATTTTATAGCCCAGAAAATGAGGAATTCAATGCAACTGGAATCAGACCTAACGGACATCTATGAAAAAAGTTACGATCAAAATAGTGAGTGCAGGTCTAAAAATAGAATTTAGACATTAATTGAAATTGAGTTCCTATCATCCAATTAACTAGGAAATGCCATAATTTGTGAAATAAGGGAACATGAAAGGTAATTTACACACTCTAAAGGATTGAAAATGTGCACAAATAATGCATGCTATCACCCGCTGAGCTAGAACAGCTCCAAGTGCAAAGTTGGATGCGTCGCACATGAGCTCGAAAGGAAGCTCCCAATCAGGTGGCTAAACAATAGGTGTGGTGGTAAGCCGCCGCTTCAGCTCCTGAAAAGCTAGCTTAAAAGGCTGATCGAAAACAAACTCTACCTCTTTCTACAGAAGCTTGGACAATGGTAGTGCAATCTTGCTGAAGTCTTGTATAAATCTCCTGTAAAAACCTGCATGTCCAAGGAAGGAAAGCACTTCTCGCACAGAAGTGGGGTAAGGTAGAGAAGCAATGATGTCAATTTTAGCTTTATCAACCTAAATACCCTGACTGGAGACTAAGTGACCCAAGACTATACCCTCTGTGACCAAAAAATGACACTTCTCAAAATTTAACACAAGGTTAGTTTGGATGCACCTATGTAACACCTTAGATAAATTCTCTAGGCATGCATCAAATGAAGAACCATAGACAGTAAAATCATCCATAAACACCTCCATGAAACTCTCCAAAAGGTCAGAAAATATACTCACCATACACCTCCGAAAGGTGCCCGGAGCGTTGCACAAACCAAATGGCATCCTGGTGTAAGCAAATGTGCCAAATGGGCAGGTGAATGTGGTCTTGTGTTGGTCCTCTGGTGCAATATGAACCTGCATGTATCCAGAAAATCCATCTAAAAAGCAGTAATGGGATTTACCTGCCAGCCTTTCCAAAACCTGATCGATAAATGGAAGAGGGAAATGATCCTTGCGAGTAGCCTGATTAAGTCTTCTGTAATCTACACAAACTCGCCAACTGTTTTGAACTCTGGTTGGAACCAACTCATCATTCTGATTCTTCACCATAGTCATCCCAGTCTTCTTTGGAACCACCTGCACAGGACTAACCCACTTGCTGTCAGAAATGGGATAAATTATACCTGCTGCCTGTTGCTTTGTGACCTCCTTCTTCACAACATCTAAAATAGTAGGATTGAGTCGTCTTTGTGGCTGTCTCACAGGTCGAAACTCATCCTCCAGTAAATTCGGTGCATACAAATAGCAGGACTAATCCTAGGAAGGTCAGTAAGAGTCCAACCAATGGCCTTCCTATAATATCTCAAAACCTGCAGTAATCTCTCCTCTTGATCAGATTTGAGCTATAATGACAGGAAGTCGCTGGTTGTCTTCTAAGTAGGCATACTTCGGATGTGTAGGCAAAGGCTTAAGCTCTACTGATGTAGGTGGAGATGGGTCAACTGCTGGTGGTGAAACATTTACTGGGGTAACTATACCTGCTGTTGCACCTGCAACATCAACACTACAAACAGCACAAATAGATGAATTATCACAAGTACATGATGGGTTAGTGGAATCTATGAAATCAGCAAACAAATCATTTAAATTTGTGCAGTCTTCAACAAGTAAATCAATAACATCCAAACTAAAAACATAATGGTTCTCTGTTGGGTGTCTCATTGTCTCAAAAATGTTGAACTGCACCAAATTGTCACCAAACTCCATAGAAAGGGTCCCTGCATGTACATCTATCTTTGTTCGCGCCGTCCTCAAGAATGGTCTCCCAAGGATCAAGGTAGCATGGCTGGGCTAGTCGTCCTCCATCTCTAAAATATAAAAATTGGCAGGAAAAAGGAGGTCCTCAACTTTGACAAGAACATCTTCCACGATACCAAGTGGCTGCACAGTGCTTTTGTTGGCTAGCTGGACTACAATTCCTGTAGGAATTAAATCTCCAATCTACAATGATCTAAAAACAGATGCAGGCATAACATTAATTGAAGCACCCAAATCCAGCATACCATTTGTAAAAACTTCCTCTCCAATGGTACAAAGGATGGTGAAAATTCCGGGATCTTTGCACTTCTGTGGTAACTTAAGGAGCAAGTCTTGTGGAATGATTGCAGACACATTCTTATTTTGAAGAAGTGCAGAACCATTTCTCCCTATACTCACTCGCTCATTACCCTTCAGCTTCCTCTTGTTAGTACACAATTCCTTTAGAAACTTTGCATATTTTGGAACTTGTCGAATGGCATCAAGGAGAGGAATATTTACTTCTATTCTGCTGAACATGTCCAGCAACTCATTATCCGACTTTGGTTTTTTTCTTGCTGCTACTGGTCTGTTCGGGAAAGGCAGGGGAACATGTTTCTCAGTGGCTGCATCACTATTGTTTTTAGAATCTGGTGTTGTAGCTACAACTGCTGGTAACACTTTTCCACTTCGCAGTGTAATAGCACTCACATTTCCCTTTGGATTCATAACTGTTTGAGAAGGCAGATTACTGGAACCTTGAGACTGAATCTAACTCAATTGAGTTGCTAGCTGACCAACCTGAATCTTCAAATCCTGAACAGTTGCTTGCATGTTCTGTTGAAACTGTAGATTGTTTGTAGCCATCTGTTGCATCATCTCCTGGAATGATGGCTCACTCCTTTGTGCAGGAGGGGGTGGTGGAGGTGGCTGTTGCCTGAATGGAGGCTGATATTTGCCTACAGCAGGTTGAAATGAAGGTTGTTGACTTTGTTGTTGCTGCTGCTGTTATTGCCCCCCCATTTCAGGTTTGGATGTTCTCTCCAACCTGGGTTATATGTATGGGAGTATGGGTTATAATTCTGATACTGCTGATTTGGAGATCTATATTGCTGTTGTTGGTTTGTGTAGATTCCAGAAATATTTGCATCTGTCTCTTGCAATGTAGGGCATGAATCCGTAGGGTGCTCAGTGGAAGTACATATGCCATAAACTCTTGCTGGTTGCTTACTTACTGCACTTACTTGTTGTTGACCAATTGCCAAATGCCTCACCATGGTGGTCAACTCGTTGATTTTGTTTTCCAGCCTCTGATTTTCCACACCATAAACAGCACTAGTACCAGGACCAAGTGCTATCTCATTCACTCCCTTAGCAGCTCCTCTGAATCCGAATTGTTGAGTGTTGGCTGCCATGTTTGTAATAAGTTGCCTTGCAGCGTGTGGTGTCTTATCCATCAATGCTCCTCCACTTACCGCATCTATCATACTCCTGTCCATCAAAGTTAGTCCCTCATAAAAATATTGAATTAGTAATTGCTCACTTATTTGATGGTGGGGACAGGTAGCTAACAGCTTGTTGAATCTCTCCCAGTAGTCATACAAAGTCTCCCCATTCATCTGCCTTATACCACAAATCTCTTTCCTTATTGCTGCAGTTCTAGAGGCAGGGAAGAATTTTTCCAGAAATAACCTCTTCATTTGATTCCATGTAGTGATTGTTGAAGGTAGGAAGTAAAGCCAATCTTTTGCAACACCATCTAGAGAGAAAGGAAACGCCTTCTGATGAATCCATATTTTTACTGATATTTTAGCATAATTCTAACACATTTGATAAGAAAAATATATGAAGAAAGCAGAAAAACTCAGAAAAAGAGAATGAATTGAAGTTTTCTTTAAAATTGTAGTTATCTTAGCAATTGTGGAATTTTTGCTTAGGAATTAAGTTTTTAATCTTGTTTTTGAAGGAGTAATTCGAGCAAGGTTCGCGAAAATAGAGGCTTGATGACAAGGAAGAAGAAAGAAGCAAGTCTGGACTCCAAAAACACAAGACCAAGAAAGTGCAAACTAGGCGTGATCACTATTGTCAGTAAAAGTGATCACTCCAGAGTTCAAAGAAGAAGAAAGCCTGGGCGTTATCACTTTTTCAGTAAAAGTGAGCGTTCCAGAGAGGCAAATATCAGGAAAAGCTCTGCGTAACCACTATTATCAGTGAAAGTGAATGTTCCAGAGAGCCTTCAACCTGGCGAGTTGCGCGTAATCACTTTTATTCATAAGAGTGATCATGCGCAACCACTTGAGCTCTGCGTAGTCACTTTTATCAGCAAGAGTGATAGTTCCAGAGCCTTCAATATCAGGAAAGTTGCGCGTGGACACTTTTTCTCATAAAAGTGTTAACGCGCAACCATAAACCTTCTGCATGGCTACTATTTCTCATAAAAATGATAACGCGCAAATCTGGGAAATTCTATAAATAACAGAAACGTGCAGATTTTTCATAGTTCAGTTTTATTTTTTCATTTTTCTGTTAGATCTCGTTGAGAGAGATTGAGAGAGAAGATTGGGGTCAAGTCTTGAAGCTTCCACAAAGAGGAATCGGATTGGAGCTTCCGGCCATGACTTCTTGGAGTTTTTCTTCTTCTTCTTCTTCTTTCTCTTTCTCTTCTCCCATGTCTGAGTAGTTTTCTTGTAGTTAGGGGTTTATGTACTCGAATTGATGTATTGATTTGACTCTTGTTTCTGGATTTTGAGTTCTTGGATTAATTGAATTGTGAATTCTATTTTTCTTGCAATCTATGAATGGAAATTTGTTTTATTCATCTTAGAGGAACAATTACCAATGGAAGTTGGATTTGCTTCTCCGATCTGAGTTAGCAATCAGAAGTTGAAGATTTCTTAGGGATAAGAAGACCTAATTCTGCAATCTTAAGGTTCTAAGTCTTAATGCAACTTGAAATTGAACTTCACCTAAGGGATTAGGGTGGTTTAGTTGCTTGTTAAGGTCAATGAGTTAAGGAATTAACCTTTGGCTATTGCTATGCGAAACTGATTGTCAATTAACCAAGTTCTTGAATGTTCAAAGGCATAATTGAATTGATATTGATAATCTTGTGAAGTAAATTCCCAACTACCTTTCAATCCATTTCTAATCTCATATTGCATTCATTGATCTATTTTTCTGCACATTCTTCTTTACTTTTAATTGCTTTGGTTTATTGCTTTTGTATGTTACAACTCTTCTCCCAAATTCGTATGGCTCAAATGGTTACAATTTTGTGAATTGATACTTGAAATCTAAATTCCCTGTGGAGACGATATCCTATTCTTAAAAATTACTCATTACTTGCTGCAATACTAGTGCACTTGCTAGTGTTTAGATTGCTAACAACACCTTCATCTTGACATGGTCTTCAGGCACACCCTGAGGTCTCATGGTGGAACACACCACATGGAACTCTTTTAAATGCTTATGAGGATCTTCACCTGCAAGTCCATGAAACTTTGGCAACAAATGGATAAGTCCAGATTTAAGCTCATAGGAAGTTGTTTCGTCTTCAGGATATTGGACACACCATGACTGATACACAACATTAGGTGTGGCCAATTCCTTCAAAGTTAGCTCAGGGTTATCAGTCATATCCTCAATTTCAATTTCAGATTCACTAACAGTAGGATTAACAGTTTCAGAAACACCAAGTACACTACCACTATTTTTGCTAGCTCTTAACCTATGAAGTGTTCTTTCTATCTCAGGATCAGGTTGATTCACTATACTAGGGTTAGCCCTGGTCATGTAAGGTTAGAACCAACAAGAATAACAAGTACTCAATAAATGCACAAAGTAGGTTTACAAAGCAAGTACCATCCAAATGCAAGATATGAATGAAGTGGGAACATGATAAATCTCTTTTTGGTATAGGAAAACACCACAAAAAATTTCAAAATTTTTTGAATTGATTTACTATGGAAACTAGAAGCCTAAAATCAAGAAAAATAGGTCAATAAATGATAAAAAATAAAAAAACTTTTAGAAAACAGGCGATTTTGAAATTTTGGGCAGCCTCAACTAACAAAGTGAGTCATGTTGGATAGGAAATTTTTTTCTACCCCAAATGCATATGCAATATGCCCAATTCTAAGTTTCCTAGCAAAAGTTATGCCACTTTTAAGTTTCACAAAAATTTTCTTGGCCACCACAATGTATCTCTTTTTCTATTAATGATTTTTGCAATCTACCAACTCTAAACACTAATAGACACTAAAAGAAATGCGGACACCAAAATTCAGATCAAAATTCGATCTCTAGTTATTTTTTTGGAATGTTTCAAAATCTGATGAATAGTGTATGAATAGTGTATGAACAGTAAAATCTGATGGCAAAATATGCAGCAACTATGTTTTCTATTCCTACTAGTCCTCTATTTTTTTTTTTTTGCATGCTGCAACCACACACAATGAAACCAAATCACACACTCAATTGCAAATTGAATTACAATGAAATAATGGAATTGACAATCAAAGGAACACCACTAAACACTAAAACACGAATTGATCGGCACACACATATGAATTGAATTGCAAAACTAAATCTGCAAAACGAAAACTGAAAACTAAAAAACAAACACGAAATACTTATTGATCAAATGTAATACGCAGTTTCAGAATCACAGAAACACAGAATCAGTTAGCACATATGATGAAATAAAAACAAAATGACTTATGTCCTCGACAACAACGCCATTTTGATAACCACGTTGCAATGATATCAAACAAACTAGATTTTCTTTTCTTAAAAATTTTTCAATAGAGGGAGAAAACCTAAGTCATCTCACAAGGACATAAAATACATTATGTTTCTGGTTCCATCATGTAATTTCAAATTGGCTTAGGGATGGATTATTTTGAATTAAATTGTAAACAACAGAAAAGACAAGAACAAAGAATAATTCTAACGAAACGAAATATGAAGTTCAACCAAATCAAGATCTCAATCACTACAACGCAATTCTCATTGTTACACGAATACAATTCTAACGAATTTCCAATCAACACTAATTCAATACGACATTAAAAACCCGAAATCTAAATCTAGATTATGAATTCCATCAAAACAAGAACTGCAATTGCAAATCCAATGCTCTAACAAAATTCAGAAAAATTGATTTATTGAATTAGGTGAATTTATTTATTTCAAATCTGAACTTCTCATTCTCTATTTAGAATGCAAACAAAAATTCAATATCATGAAAAACGTAATTATCCTAATCAGAAAAGAGGAGGAAGAGCGAGATTCGATAGAACCTAACCCGAAACTCAAATGCAATGTAGTTCTTGAAACCTTGAACCGATTGATGGATTAGCCTTGCTTCATGATCATGCTTGCTTCGGCCAAAACCAGAAAATCCGAAAAGATGGAAGGTAGAGAGAGGCGAAAATAAAGGAAAGAATTTAAAATAAAGACTTTGAATTCTGAAAAATAATGAGCGGGAAAAGAAAAACAAGGATCCATACATAGAGTCATAACCTCTATTTAAAGACAAAATAATTGGGTTTAATTAAGGCCCAATTTCCTAACGAGGTTCCTAAACACCTAACTAAGTAAAAGACAAAATAATTGGGCTTAATTAAGGCCCAACTCCCTAATGAGGTTCCTAAACACCTAACTAAGTAAAATCAACAATACAATCAAATTCTGAAAATTTCAGTGCGGGGCCGCAACATTGTGACGCAAGTTTGGACTTGAAGATGCTCGAACTGGGCTTTTTGCCAAACAGAGAAGTTGTAGATCTATGTCTTATCTTTCCAGGGACACCAATTTTGTCCAATTCCAAGTAGTGTAGCTCTAGATATGGTCTTTCCAAGAAACTATGTTAAAATAAGAAATTATGGCGGGAATTAAGAAAGATTTATATTTAAGTCCTAAATTACTTACTAACACAAATCTAAACTAACACATCAAAATAATGCATTAATGAAGCTCAATTAAACCAAAAACATGGAGAGAAAGATGTACTAAAATATGACTATCAGTGAGCAAGTTCTCATGCCTATTATTATTTCAGTGCCTACTCCAATAATAGATGACAGTGGTGGAGTTATTTCTAACATTGTCTCAACACAAGACAACAATGAGGTTCTACCTCAAGTACCTATAGAACAAGCTCAACAACCTCAAGAAGTGCCATTGAGGAGAAACACCAGAGAAAGAAGAAGTGCAATTCCATATGATTATATTGTGTTTCTCCAAGAAAATGAGGATGGCATTGGTTTAACAGAGG